TTCTCCCCAATATGCATTTCCAGAAGCTACGGAAGTCTTTGTTTCTCCTATAACTGAGATAAGAAATCATAAGCATTGCACATATAGCATCCATTTACCATAGGAATAAAATGCTATCTTCACACTTTTAATAACACATCCAAAATATTTTGAACAAAAAAAGCTGAGTAGATACAACAAGTCTGTCTCAACACTTTTACCAACCCAATTCTATTGCATGAACTCTACAATAAGAGCAATTTATAATTTTTCTTTTTATAAGAAACACAAATTTAAGTTACCAACTTCCATTAAAACAAAGAAAGAGGATCGTGATGCAGAAGACACTGTTGATAATAATAGTGAAGATTATTTGTACCATTCCTTATACTCAGTTATGATGATTTGACTTCAGTAGCAGGCAAAGTTGCATCTACTAGATGGTCACTGGACTGGAACCATATTCCTTTGAATTCTGCTAACCACGAGGAGCCTTTGGTTCTGACGAAGACATAATAGCAACCAATTGCACCACTAAGAGTATATCAAAAAGCAAAAGCTTTCACTATCTAGCATGTACTCAATCATCCATATATACAAGGGGAGAATGGAGATGATGTGGCTCATAGAATCAAAGCACGATAGGTAAAATGGAGGGTTTTGTTAAGCATATATATAGTCTGATCATCATATTTTGCAAGAATTGAATGCTAAGTTTATAGAACATCTGTTAGACCAGCCATGCTATATGGGACTGAATGCTGGACAGTTAGAAAACAGACATATTCATAGTTCCTGTAGGTACATATTAGCCAAATGTTACAACCAGCATAGTGATATGCAAACCTCTACCTCTGTTTCTCTAACGGCATATTAGCCATTATTAGACACAAATTGTTAAGAGATCAGATTAAAATATTTGTCATCTTTTGAATCCTTCAAAATTGGAAATGTTTGCTGAATAATCTTTGCTATGCTTCAAAAGTGAAGGGTCATTGCCTCAAACTTAAAAGCCTGGTTTTTATAGTGAAAGGGATGTCAATGAACTCGAGGTCTATCCTTCTTCTAAAGCATTTTCAGCTAATGAAGTCACAGTCCTTTTACACTGATGGAGGCTCGATAAATGATATTTCATGTTGGTACGTTAATCTGGTGCTTTTGAAGTCAGTTTGAAAAGTTCAATATAATTAAGAGATTCCCAACCCATGCGTTAGCAAATGCACCCTCTAATTTTTTTATTTGTTTTCTTTGGAGTTGAGGTAGAGTTCACACAACAGAAACACAGATGCTGAGACAAGAACAAATATAAAAGCTTAAATGAATTAGATTTTTCACTGGAGGTGGTGTAATATATCATTTTTTTTTCTTTGGTGGGTTTGTTTTGGGTTCCTATGCAACAGGAGGAGGAGACAAATCTTTCTTCTTCTTTTTTTTTTCTTTTTTTTTCTCTCAGCACACAAGAGGGCATGATCAAATGTCAAAATCTATAACAGAAATGCAATATCCAAAGAATGAAAAGCGGTCCAACCAAGAAGCAACTAGCAAAACTTATGAATTTAGCAAATAGAGAACCTGAAGCTAGTTTCAAGCAGAAAAAACTTACTTGTATAATATGAAGAGCCTGCTCAAGCCTCTGAATTTGAATCCATTGTTCTGTAACAATGCCAGCCATCTGAAAGCAAAGAGAAAGAAGCCAATGGCAAAATGAACACCACACTAACAACATCACACATTCATAGCCATAGACCAAAGATGAATTGAGTACATCAGTGAATGACCTTGTGAGCCTGAGAGGCAACCGTTTCGAGTCTATCCTCGGCATCTTGTGCTTTAGACTCTAAAAAATGGGCCTAGGCGGGCGCTAGGGCGCTAGGCGGGCCTCCTAGGCGGGTTGGGTCTTTTTTTGGTGCCGAACCCGGAGGACGAAGTAGCCGAAACCGAAGAAAACAAATCGAAGCTTGAGTTGATAGAGAAGCGAAACTTCGACTGCAACCTCCGTCCTCTGCTAGTGCAAGCTTCGTGTTCGTTTCGAATATATTTAAAGAGTATAGCCGTCCGGCTATACTCTTAAAATATTCGAATATATTAACATTTAAAATATATTTGAATATTTGACTTCGTTTAGCCACTCGGCTATACTCTCTAAATATATTCTAATATTTAATAGTGCGCGGCTATACTCTTTAAATATATTATAATTTTAAATAGTATAGCCGAGCGGCTATACGTTTAAAATATATATTCTATTATTTAGAGAGTATAGCCGCCCGGCGATACCTTTTAAAATTCGGCTATATATTAGAATATATTTAAATAGTTTTTAAAATATATTCGAATATTGCTATACCTTTGAAAACACTTTTTGTTGACAATTCTTTGCCTTGAATCTGGCTGTAGTCGGCTCCTCCAATTGTCTGTGTCCATTGCGGGCTCTCCATCTCCAGAAGGGCTCATTGAGGGCTCTCCATCTGCAGAAGGGCTGTCATCATCATCGTCGGTAAATATCTCGTTGCGTCAATGGAGGGTTCTCCATCTTCAGAGGGGCTCTCATCATCATCATCACCATCAGTGTACATCTCGCCTGTGTCCATTGAGTGCTCTCCAGTTTCAGAAGGGCCATGCTGATTGAGGGTTCTCTTCCATCAACTCTAACCAGCAAAGCAACAAAACTTAAATTACAAAAAAGCAATCAAAGTTAAGATTTTGCACAGCTTAAACCTTCCTTTTCAATTCAAAATTTTAATTTAAGAAATTTCTCCATTGACTAACACTGAAAATTCACCATAATTGAATACAATATCATAAATTTCCAGACTTCCTAGAAAACAATCAACGGGAAGCTAAATTCAATGGAAAGACCCCGCAATTGAGTGCTTTGCTCCTATTAGACGAAGAGTTGGTTGAACTGCTAAACTTAGGGTTATTACCTTGGGCAGAGGCAGAGAGAGATCACAGGAGACTGGAGTTGCAGACCAGAGTGAGAGAGAGGTTGGCAGCTTGAAGCCCACAACACCTACAATGAGCTGCCGGAGAGAGAAATATTATAATATATTTTAAACGGAATAGTGTCTAAAATAATCTAATATATTCTAATATTTAAAGATTATAGCCGCACGGCTATACTCTTATTATAATATTTAAACAGTATAGCCGCCCGGCTATAATCTTTTAAATATATCCTAATATTTAAACAGTACAGCCGGGCGGTTTTACGCTTTAAATATATTATAATATTTAAATAGTATAGCCGGTCGGCTATACCTTTGAAATATATTCAAATATTATACTAGCTGCCATCGCCTCTCACTCTGTTGTGCAATTCCGGTCTCTCCAGTACAGTAACCTCAAGACACTCACCTCACTCTCTGCCCAAGGTAATAATAACCCTACATTTAGTTGCTCAATTCGTTCGTTGATAACCCAATTAAGTCCAAGTGATCCTGATTTCTGAGTTGATTTTTTGTTTTCAATTTTATTTAAAAGTTGTGGTCTTTCAAGTTTTGTTGTTTTGTTTGAAGTGGTGTGTTTGGTTGCTTCAGGCTTGATGGTTTCCGATAATCCCCAAGGTGGAAGAGAACCCACAACTGACACAGGCGATTGGAGGAGTCAATTGATGCCAAATTCACGACAAGAAATTGTCAACAAAATGTAAGTACGTTTATGAAAGAAAGAAAGAAAGAAAAAAGCTGAGTCGAGATTGAATCAGAGCGGCTTGAGAAGCTAAGAATGTTCGAGACCATGTTGGAGCGCATCATTGCCGGCTTTTACTACCATTTAATTGTTATTTTGTATCAATGATAAACTTTATATTGACTCCTCAAGCAATCCTTTAAAAGCACCCATCATTTAATCTTCTTTCACTCAAACTTCTTGTTTTACCCCTATCATCTATGTCATTTCAGGAATAAAGAAAACACAGTCATCCACCACCAATTCAGTGGATTATCTGGCTCTAGGAGGATCACTGTCGTCTGGCGATTGTACCTCTCCTCTCCTAATGTCTTCCACAAAATCAGTGGATTATCAACGGCGAGATATTTGCTTTTGGGTCTTCCCTGGTTTGGCACATGATCCATTGGAAATACCACGCCATCTCTTTCCTAATCCACCCATGCCAAAAGCTTAGGAGTTGTTGATATCCCGCCTTTTAAGTTTGACTATATCACTCCAAATGTCAGCCTCCATCGATTCCTTCATAGAAAATCTGTAAATAAGGTACCAACCAAAGATTTAAAAAACACTAAGCAGGGACTAAATAAGAAATATACAAAATGTAATTAAAATTGAACATTAATTAAATGGCCACATACCTGCTGACGCAATTCGTTAGGCTATACTCTTTAAATATATTCGAATATTTAAGCACGGCTATCCGCTTTAAAATATTTTCAAATATTTTATTAGTATAGCCGCTCGGCTATACTGTAAACATAAAATATTCGAAATTTCTTAAATTAAAAGTTTGAATTGAAAAGGAAGGTTTAAGCTGTTCAAAATCTTAACTTTGATTGCTTTTTTAGTTTTTGCAATTCAAGTTTTGTTATTTTGTTCATTACAGCTGATGGAAGAGAACCCTCAATTTACAAGCAGGAGATGATGATGAGCAGAGCGCTTCTGAAAATGGCGAGCACTCAATGGACACAGGCCATCGTCAACATGATCACAAGGAAGCAAGCAGTGGATGTTCTAGTGGGTGTGTGGAGGGCTTTTTAACATCCTCGCTGAAGATGTTAATGTCTATATGCGATTATGAATAAAAGCATTACCTTCTGACAAAAAAGGAATTCTTGCTTGAATAATATATATTTTTTATTTCTAAATTTTTAATACTTTTTAATAGTTCCAAAAGTAAACTTTTTATTATTATTATTATTTTTTTCTGGAAAAATGAAAAATTTATGCTAAAAAAGTGACAATATGCAGATGACGTCACATCTTTTATATGATTACATGTAGTTTTGGTAAAGTTTATTATATAGAACTTGGAATCGGATGCAAGTCTGCGTAAATCGAAAGCAAGTCTTCCTTTTTACTTTTGAGCACAACGAGATTTTCCCTCAACTTAAGTGGGAAAGAGACAGTGGTCTTCATCTTCAAGTTGCCGAACCTTTCTCACTCTGCCAAAAGGTAAGAACTCTAAGCTTAGTTCATTTCATTATCTAATTGTTAGGTTCATTTGTTCCTGGTTTTAGATCGTACCCTTTAGTATATAGGAGCAGGGTATTGATAGTTTCTGGTTTCCGATCTTTTGCAGTTCAAGTTTTGTTTGAGGGTGGTGTGCTCTGTTGGTTAGAGCTGATGGATGCTGATAATGAGAAGCCTCGGCCTCCTCAACGTGCTTCAAGCGAACCCTCAATGGACACAGACAAGATGTACGCTGATGATAATGAGCGCCCTTCAGAAGATGAAGATGGAGAGCCCTCAATGAGCCCTTCTGGAGATGGAGATCCCTCAATGGGCACAGGCGATTGGAGATTGCCGCCACATACGAGGCGAAAAGTTGTCTACAAGATGTAAGTATGTCTAAAGAAAGAAAGAAAAGTTAGTAATCATAGGCGTCATAAATGATGGTGCACTTAGTGAAATTTGAACTTTCAACCCATAAGTCGTAAATACGGTTTGTGATATATGAGGGATAGAAAATAAAACTGGATTTTTATTAAAAAGATAATTTTGTATGTGTTGGTACAGCCAGGAGTGCGCCTTCATAAAACCAGGAGTGCGCTTTCATGTATTCATACAGAAATGACTCCGTATATCAAAGCTAACAAGCTCGACTAATATATAACCTCTTTTGTGTGAATTTATTTATTCATCCTGAATTCAGTTTTCTTGTTAAGAACTCTACCTCCATGCCATGCTTTATGATGGTCAATAAATTTTATTGATTGTGTTGCATGTAAAGGATGGAGACATTGAAGAGGCATCTCCCTCTCTCTACTGAAGAGGGATTACGGGTGCTCAAGAATATTGCTGTAAGGTTTGAGGAAAAGATTTATGCTAAGGCCACAAGCCAGGTACTTCAATAACTCTTGGGTCCTAATTTTTCTTAGCATATGACAAGTAACTCTATTTAGATATGTACTGATCTATACATATGTAATTTCTTAAATAAACATGGTCTGTGTTTCAGCTTTCTTTGTATTTTGGGTAGCAATGTAGTCTAAGTTTAGCATGGGTTTCTTTTTACAGTCGGATTACATACAGAAGATTAGTCTGAAGATGCTAACAACGCAGCCCAAGTCTCATAACACAATGGCCAATTCTTTACAGTCCAACGCTTATGGTAATAGTATACTACTGCCATTTTCTCCCTGCTTGTATGCTATTTGACATATAGAGATTGTGATATTTGTGTTTTATATGGAAAGCTGCAGGTTTGACAAAACAAAAATAGGGCGTTTTCCTGTGTTGTGTAGCTTCGTTGTTATTGCTTAATTGCCTGAAAATGGTCTACTATTTCCTCCCCACATGTCTTATCTGAAGAGACTCATTTCTGATATGTACATTGGTAGTTAATTTTGTGATGATTGAATGAGTGTCAAATTTTGTGATCATTTTGAAATTTCCCTGTTGGTTGTTGATTTTCTTTTTTAGGTTCATTTGAGACATATAATGGAGGCGACATTTTGACCATTGTTTGGTAATTAGATGATCACGGTGGTTCCACATGAGGGCAAGGAAATAGAATTGGAAACAATAATCCCAAAAGAATAAGGAAATAGTAATTAAACCCTAAGAGAAGAGAAAAGCACATACTTAGCCTAATTTACTAGCTTTTTTGCATACGTCTAAAATAGGTATGTAGGGTAGACCACCATGATTCCCATTCAGGTTTAGACTTTAGAATCATAGTTGTCACTTGGAGACGTTATATCTGTGACTTTATTGGTTGACAGTTGAAGCTTCTTTTTCCTTTTACTTTAGTTTTGGTATATTTGTTTTTTCATGAATAATGTTGAGAAAGATACTTATTGTTAAGCTCTTGATAGTTTAACTGTAAAAGTTTTATTTTGGTTGTTAAAAACATAATTTGTGGATCTTTTATCTTGTGAATAGAAACTTGGAGAACACTCTTATCTGAAGTGTCTTTGAATCTGATGGTTGTTTATCAATAACAGTTTCCCGTGGCTGTATTACCTACACTGCTGTGTATTCATAATCCTGTTGCTTAAGCACTTGGGCTTTCAGTGTGTTCTCAGACTGTTCATGTCATGTGGAATGGTCTTTTAAATAAATACCGTTCATGTTTTGCAGAATCATTTTTGGCTGAGTTGGTTTCGATTTTTCTTGATCAAAGTTCTGAAGGTAATATTGACCCAAAAAAACAAAGTTCTGAAGGTAATGCTTTTTTCCATTATTATCTTCATCAGAAATTTTGTGTATGATTTTATCACTTATGATCCTGTTTGGCTTAAGTACTTGGGCTTCAGTGTGTTCTCAGACTGGTCATGTCATGTAAAATGATCTTTCAAATAAATACCGTTCATGTTTTTGCAGGATCATCTTTTACTGAATTGGGTCCGATTTTTCTTCATCAAAGTTCTGAAGGTAATATCGAGCACAAAAAAAAAAGTTCTGAAGGTAATGGTTTTCTCCATTGTTACCTTCATAAGAAAATTTTGTATGATTTTATCACTTATAATCCCGTTTGGCCACTTGGGCTTTCAGTGTGTTCTCAAAGTGTTCATGTCATATGTAAAGATCTTTTAAATACCGTTCATGTTTTTGCAGGATCACTTTTGACTGGATTGGTTCCCACTTTTCTTGATCAAAGTTCTGAAGATAATATTGACCTGAAAAAAAAAAGTTCTGAAGGTAATGTTTTTCTCCATTATTTCCTTCGTAAGAAAATTTTGTATGATTTTATTACTTATATTTTGTTAACTCAGTACCAACTCTAGATTCTATATCCCCGACAAGACATGCAAATGGGGATGACTGGCAAGAGGAGGTCTATCAAAAGGTAAGAATATTCTCTGGCATATAATTAAATGCCATTTTTTTTGGGTAACTGTAATTAAATGCCATTAAATGGCTAGGATTAGAAAGAAATATAAGCCGCTGTTTTGGGGCTTGGTCACTTGGGTAGGGATTATATCAGTACTGCTCACCCGTGGGACTGAAAATGAAGACTTGTGATCGCCTAACTAACAAGACCAATGCATATCTTGCAAGTTTTCGGCCCATTCTCTTTCTTCCTATGGCTTCAGTGTTTCAGCCATTTTGGTGTATGGGTTGTGGAGATAATCCGGTCTGATTGGTTTAATAGGAATATCTGCCATTTGATTATGTCGGATTTAATCCACTGGCTCTTGTTAGTCAGGCGCTCACAAGTCCTCATTTCAGTCCCTCAGGGGAGCTGGACTGGGATTATATACAGGCTTTATTACTAATGTCATTAGCTGCTGGAACAATAGGAGACAACGATAATAAAGTAGGGATATGAAAATTAAATTTTATCTCTTTGAGGAAGTAAGATTTTTAGTAGTGAAAAACTGAACATTCAATTATTCTCAGAAAATGGAAACTGGTGTTCACAAGTGAGTGATATAGGATTGAAAAGGAAATGAAATGCAGGAATTTGGGAGTTTGGCCTTTTGGATAGGGATTATATTCACGGTTTATCAGGTTTTTTTCATGGTATTTTTCAATGCTTCGAGGCTTACGCCTCGCCTCACGGGAGGTAAAACGTCTCAGCTTACGCTTTTGCTTTTTAAAACATTGATCAGGAATGATAGTTGCTTCTCAAATCACAGGACATAATGGTGAATAACCTAGGAATACAGAATATACATTTTTCAGTGGCAGAAAATTAAATTTTCTATTATTATCAGAAGAAAGCAGTGGCATTCTGATGTCTATTTTGTTTATATTTAAAATTTTGAAAAAAATAAGTCAATTGAACTGCCGGATGGGTAATAAACTAGGAATAGATGAAAAACATTTTTAGTAGTGGGGAATCAAATTTTCTAATATCCCATAAGAAAGAAGCTTCAAAGATAGAGACCACTATGCTCTTTATAAATTATCTAAAGAATCTCTTTATATTCTTGAACACTGTATTTTGAAGCATTAGACAAAAAAAAAACTTTAATAGATGCATGAGGTACTAAGAAACAAAGAAATCTGGTGTCTGCAAGCATGTAGCTGCAACAAAGTTTTTTTCTAATCATCTTTACCTTGCTGACTTCGATTTGCAGATCAAAGTCATGAAGGAGATGTATTTACCTGAACTAAGTGAAATGTATCAGAGATTTGCTAGTTATCTTCTGCAGGTTTGTGATCACTTCATCCTTTTCCTCACTCAATTTGTTGCTCAACTTTTACCATTGAGCAGCCTGTCCCTTCAAGGTTATCATGGTGATGGTCTGTGATAGATCCCTCCAACTAGATCTCCTGTTTAATTATTGCAGCCATGTATACCGCCTACATGGGATTGTTAATGGCAGTAGTAGTTTACTTTTTTCGCTTGCAATGCCAATAATATTATTTGCTACAAAGTCTTGTTACTTGTAACATTGCTATTTTGTTGCTTACTCATCGTGTATGTTGTTCTTTCTGTTTGCCAGCACAATTCTCTTCCACAACCACCAAAATCAAAGCAGCTTGACAAACTGAATTTCTTCAAGACCAAGTTGGAGCGCCTCATATCAGTCTTACAGATTTCCAAAAGTAGCATTTCACCTGGTTTGAAAGACAAGTTTGTTTCATACGAAAAGCAGATAGTAAATTTTATTAATATAAATAGAAGTTGGAAGCCAGTTTCTTCTCTGCAGCAAGGGCAGCTACCCTCATCTCGTATGCACTCCATGCAGCTTTCACAATCTCACATTACTAGAGTGCAATCTCATGAAAATCAAATAAACCCACAGATGCTTTTAATGAACTTACAAGGTTCTGCAGCAACAATGCAGCAGAACAATATGGCCAGCTTGCAGCAAAGTTCTATGTCTTCTTTATCTGGAACAGCGCAGCAGAACATGATGTATTGGTTGCATCCTAGTTACAATCTGGATTCAGGACAAGGAAATACACTGAACTCGTTGCAGCAGTTTGCTTTGGGCTCTCTCCTACAAATTCCTGTCAGTGCTTCCCAACAAGCGAACATGAATGCCTTGTCATCACAGAGTGGGGTTAGTATACTGCAGGTAAACATTGTTTCCCTTCAACCTAGTCAATATGCTGCAGAGCCAATATTCCTCAAAAGCTTGCACTGACAAGGAGTAGAAAGGCTTAATTACTTAACCTTTGGCTCCAAAGCCCGAATTCCATTCTATTGGCACTGGCTTGACCCTCTCCTATCTTGGTAGCTTCACTCATGCCCTATTGCCCCAGAAATGACACCCAAACATTTTAATCTAGCTTCTAGGTTGCCCATGACAAGGTTCTAACCTTGAGTGTCCTCTGGATGTTGTTGTGGTACCCATTAAGTACCAGCCAGTACTCTTTTAAAGTCGGGCATGTATTTTTCAGACGGACCTGGTGACCTATTGGGTGGGGTTATTTCTTTCTTGCTGCTGGTTGAATTGGTTCAATACCGTTCTACCAGCCAAAGTCAATTGTGATGGGATAGTTCTGAACTCGAAATAACTGGCCTGTAACGACATTAAATCATTTCAAAACTAATGAACTGTCAGGCAGGTTGAAGTCAAACCTAGAAGACTTGTTAAGTTTAGGATGTCTACTGCCCAACTCATCTATGCAGCATGTGGTGTTAGAAGCATGCCGCTGTTAATGCCAAACGCTGCATAGTACTGAAACATGATGGTTTTTGTGTTATTCTTTTGTTTTGTTCATTGGTTAGACTTGTTTAGTTGAATTTATGCAAGCTCACAAGGCGATAGCAAGATTTTCTTTAATGTTCAATTGAAAGTATTACTGATTTCTTTTGCAGAGTATTTCATCAGAGTGGACCTTTTTAACAGCCAGCTTTGTACTAGAGATTTTGTCAGCTGCTTGTGAACAGTTATCCTCCCGAAATAAGCCTCATTATGCACAAGGCGGTTTGTTGTTTGCTATTGCAGCTTTTCTGATCTGCATCTGGGATCTTGCAGACAAAGTTACCAAGGACAGAAGTGTATTGAGGAGGAGGGAAATGCTGCGCATCCTTCATTATCCATCTCCCCGTAACACACCCTGTTTCAACTTAGCTGACTATTATGGTTTAGCTGGTGCCGTCTATCAACTGTTTTCTGCAACATTTGAGTGGTTTCATGTCCGCAAGGGTGTTGATAATCCTATAAAATTTTCAATTATGCCTTTAGTATTTCTTGTGCTTTTGGCTTGCTCTAGAGCTAGGGTTGAAAGGTATACCATAGATGGGACCCTGGAAGATATTGTTTAAACAGAGACTCATTTTGAGTTATTAGGGCCCTCTCTGAGGATATTGAAATTTCAACACATTAGGCTCATTTTTATTCCTTTAATCCATGTAGTGTGGCCTTGGTGTGGGAAATTTCATAGAGGTTGTGTAAATGTCAATGTCGTTTTGTATAGATATTTACATGAGGTTGTAAATTTAAGTTATCTGTAGACATTCAACTTCAGGTAACATTATGGTCTGTCAATACGAGAGAGAAGACATCATTCCTGGAGGAAATGGAAGCCGTTTGAAGCTTCTGTGCACAATCTCGAATTACTCTCATGGAAATCAAATGAGCCTAGGTCCCCACATATATAACCGGCATCACCAACACAATTACTATCCCATCTAGTCGTGTATATGAGAGCCTACCCCAAAAAAGAAAAAGAAAAAAAATATATAAATACTTTTTCTTAGCTACCAATAAAAAATCAATACTAGTATCTGGGTTCAAAACAAGAGTTCAATTGTTCAGAAAACTTGATTCTAACCCAACCCAACTCGTTATTTTCGAATTGGTAATTGAAGTTCTTTTAGCTTTCTTCCTCAGTTTTTCAAGTTGTTGTAATATATTATGGTTTTGGTATAAAATGTATCATTCATCTTAAGTTGTTGTTGGCCTCCAAATCTTTTCAGCCAAGTGTCAAATCGGGCTGATTTGGCAACAAAGACGTCCTGCTTCTATGCTTTGGTGGTGCAGGCGTGTGCCAGTACCCAGGCCAAGAAACGGCCGTAAGAATAACTGGGTGATGAGTGATGGGTGCGCTCCATGATCTTCACTTCTTTCTAATGGTGGTGCAATTTTGAAAGGCTAAAAGCCTTATAAAAAATTGAATAAAATAAACAAATCATAATTGATCATACCTCAAGTGATGCATCATGCAGCCTCATCTTCCTCGAGTTTGCTATTAAATACTGATCATAAGAGCCAAATCAGAAAAATAAAATATGAAGTGGATTACAAAAAAGGGGAAAACAGAAGAAACAAAAAAAAGGAAAAGAATAAGAAATGAATTGGCTTTTTGTCAAGAAGGAAAAAAAACGCAGCAACAAACTTACTTTTGGTGAAGAAGGAAACAAAAACGCAATAACAGAACCAATTGATTTCCTTCTTTTAAAAATCCTTTGGTAATCCTTGTTTAAATAAGAATAAAAAAACATGTTTAAAGACTTTTTAAAGCACACGAAATGCTGCCTAAACATGTTGTTTAAAGCCCATGAATTGCAGTCTGTCTTGTGAATGGTAGACGGACACCGAGGAATTTGCATCTCGACGGTGGATTGTCTCCCCGGGTTTGATCAAGAGACGTGGGTCTCTTGATCTTTGAGGACGGTTGTGGCAATGTGCACGGTAGCTCAGCAGGTTCAACAACAATTCAAGTTACAAAAATAAAACATATATCAACAATTTCCAAAAAAATTCACCCAAACTCTAAATCATAAAAACTTAACAACAACAATTAAAATTGGAAATTATATATATATATAAATATATAAAGAAAAACTTTCCAAGATTGAAGAACCCACTGAAGATAGGTTGGTACAAATTTTTTAGAGGAGAGCTATTTCCTCTAGGCTCTCAAGGTTTAAATATGGTGTTTTAGGTGGTTAGAAGAATTTTTTTGATGTTTGCTCTCTATGGATGTAGCCCAATATCAGTACGATTAGAATAGATCAAGTTGGTAGAGCCTTAGCGTGAGTTCTACTTCTAATCAAATTTATATAGGTTTGGATTGATATTTATTATTTCCTATATACTTCAAGAATGGGCTTATTTTAAATAAAGCTATTATTTACTTTACTTAAATTGGGCTATTATTAGTTTATTATGTTTATTTGGTGTAGTGGGCTAATATTTATTGGAGTAGGAATAAACTTAACAATATTTAATATTTAAAAATCTTCCCCTAGGCTGGAGCCCACTCCAGCCTAGTAATAGATTCGCCCTTGACTGTGTGGTACCCTAGAAATAAATCAAGACGTGCGATCTCTTGATCTTTGAGGACGGTGGCGGCATCGTGCAAGGCAGCACGGAGGGTTCAAATTCGTATCCGGAGGAATCTGGATGAATCGTTTGCAACATTCTTTCGTTCATGGGGATCTTCTATTTATAGGGGAAGTGTTGACTTTCTCGAGGGATGCGCTAGCGCCTTGGGTCAGCTGGCCAGTGTAGGTAAAAGCGCAACCGAAATGGGACAAGCTGCTGCTTTGGTCATGAATCCCAAGGCTAGGCCCCATTTGGTGAGCTGGACTGGATTGGATATTTTCAATTAAAATGTACATATATCCTAGCCATTGTTTTGTGAGCTTAAATTAGTCTTGATTGGATATGGGCATGAGATCCATGTCCCAAATAACTATGACTCCAGAACCCAAGCCCAGATGTGGGTTTAGAATCCAAGTCTCTTCCAGAGACACGCCTCTTCTCTGTCATCTCTGCGAGCACGCCTCCTCTCATCAGTTTCTTCTCTTCTCTCTCTTCCGCTCTCTCTTCTCTCTTCCTCTCTTTCTGTCTTTCTGATTTTCTCCTCTCTTTTTTTTCTTCTAGAGCCCCCTTTCATCTTCTGTTCTTCTATTCATCTTCTTCTTTGATGCTATCTCATATTTCAAGCAATCTTCTCACTTCAATCTCTCTCTTGGAAATAGGAACAATAAAAATGGAAGGAAAATGGTGGGTTTGATGCAAAGACCATTGATGCAAATCTTCTCACTTCAATCTCTTCAATACTATCTCTTTTTGTTTTTTTTTTCGGTTGAGATAGTCTCGATCTCTTTATATATATATATATATATATATATATATTTATTTATTTTATTGAAGTCCCAATCTCTTTGAATATGATGGTTCTATAATAATTTTTTATATAAATATTGGTTCTGTAATTTGATACATTTTTAATTAATTATTTATGATATTAATATAAAAAAATTCACATTTAAAAAAAAAAAAAATGAAGTCCAATGTTGTCCAGTGTGGCCTTGTACCAAACAATGGATTGGACTTAAGTCTAGTCCAGTCTAGTGTTCTACCAAACAACTTAATATGACTGAAGTCTAGCCCAATTCAATTCAATATTTCAAGCCTAATTCTAACCAATCCGGTCCAGCTCACCAAACGTGATGATCGAATCCCTGAGAACAGAGATGCGGATGTTTGGCATTGAGCAGTGTGAATTCGGCACGTGGCGTCATCTTACTGGTGAATGAGCTCAGTTCTGAGTGCAGAGCACAAGTCCATCTTGGCCTAGGTCAAACTTAAAAAGTAAAAACTGGGAACCGTAGATTTGGTGTATAGCCAAGTAGAGTAGGCGGTGCACCTCGATCACGGAGCTTCAGGCCTACTTGCACACTTTAAGCTGCAAAAGGAACTATTCCCACGTGCATGTCCGATATTTTCCTCGAGTGATAGGATCGTTCCACGTGGCTTCAGTGATGACTGGTTGAATTTCCAGGGAGCTTCTACAATGAGGAGTTAAAGTGAGGAGGTTATTTGAGGAGACCGATCCGACTGTCAAAACATTTAAAATATTTAAGTCCCATGATTTCTTTACATTTGTTGATGGTGAGATTTGACCTCCTCAAATAACCTCCTCACTTTAAGCCCTCATTATAGCCTTTCCGGAATTTCCAACCCCAGGGTTTTGGGCCTTTGTTGTTTTGAATTGGACCAATGCACGTTGGGCCTTTGTCCTTGGTTTCAGGCCCAATAATTCGGCCCAGGGCTTTCATGGGTCTTGCAGATCCCATTATTTCAGTTGAAAAAACTCACTCTGGGCCGAGGTAGGTGTCACGACTGTGGGCCCCAAAGGCTGGTTTTTTCCTGTTTTAGTCCTTGGGCTGGGGTTTGGTAAAAATGGTTCAAGTCTGTGACCCGATGGGCTCATGCCACGTCATCTTTTCTCTGCATGTGGAAAATTTCTAGTGTAAACAGTTTTCTCCCTCACGTTTTCGTAAATTTTGTTGGGTTTCTCATAGTATGTGGATTGCAATCTTTGTTCTTTGAATTATTGCGTATGTGGTTCGTGAAAAATTCATGCTTCACAATTGCTTTACTGGATACATGTTCATATTTACAATCACCATCATCGTTCAAAATTTTCAACCTTTTCACAAATTTTTTTGTCCTTTTTCTGGTGGGATTTCATTTGAACTTGCCATTCAATCTTGTTTTGTTTCACAATTTTTTTTTTGGGTTGGTTTTGGTTAGATTCGATGGATAACAATAATAGGAGGCCTCCTCAAGTTGCAGAACCATCAATTGATGCAGAAGGGGATTGGAGAGGAGTCAACTGCCGCCAATTGAACGGCAAAGAATTATCAACAGGATGAGGACAGCGCCCCCAGCCAGCAGCTCAGGCAATTCTTGCTTTCCTAACCGAGTCTCGTTTTCAGACGTAAGATGGCATTTGCCACGTTCCATTTGAAATTGCAGCATGGTATGTGAGAGAAGACATAATAGTCGACGCGCACACCTTTCTCACTCTGCTACAGTGCTCCAGTAATTGTGCTCTGTGACGCTGACTTCAGCATGAGGACAGCATCCCCAGGCAGCTTTTGCCAACCCCCAAGTCTCGTTTTCAGACTGAAGATGGCATGTGCCTCGTTCCAATTGAAATTTTGGCAACATTATATTAGAGAGAAGAACTCCAGTAACCTTTCTCACTCTGCTCCAGTGTCTCCAGTAACCTCACTCTGCCCAACGTAAGAACTCTAAGCTTAGTTCATTTCATTATCTAATTGTTCCTGGTTTTAGTATATAGGAGCAGAGTAGGGTTCTGATAATTTCTGGTTTCCGATCTTGCGCAGTTTTTGTTTTGTTTGAGGTTGGTGTGTTCTGTTGGTTAGAGCTGATGGATACTGGTAATGAGACGCCTCGGCCTCCTCAAGGAGATGAGAGCCCCTCTGAAGATGGAGAACCCTCCATTGACGCAGACGAGATGTTTACTGATGATGATAATGAGAGCCCTTCTGCTGATGGAGGAGAGCCCGCAATGGACACAGACAATTGGAGGAGTCGACTGCAGCCAGACACAAGGCAAAGAATTGTCAACACGATGTAAGTGTTTTTATTCTTCTTAAGAAATAGCTTAGGGGATTAAATTCCTGAATTCGCGTTTGCCTTGGTTGTATTGTCAGTAACTCATTTTAAATGTATTGCATGTAAAGACTGGAGACATTGATGAGGCATCTTCCTTTCTCTGGTCAAGAGGGATTACAGGAGCTCAGGGAAATTGCTGTGAGGTTTGAGGAAAAGATTTATACTACTGCCCCAAGCCTGGTACTTCAATAACTCTTGGGTCCCAATTTTTCTTGATACATGCATGTAACTGTACTCAGATATATCTACATCTATTACATATGTAATTTCTT